AATCAAGAAAAACGTTTCAGACGGTGTCTTGTATTTAATTAGAAATAAAGCACATTTTAATTGAACAAATGCAACACGCTTTAATTATACTGGCCTAAACCAAGGATTTTAAAACAAAAAAATATTTTTAAATATATTCTAAGTATGAGAAAAAACACGTGGTTCCCTTTTGCTTAATAAAAAATAAAACTCTGAGAATTTAATGCTAGACCCAAATTAGCATTTTATTTAAAAAAATAAACATTCTTATAAAAAAAACAACAAAAAAACAAAACAAAAAGAAAACACAAGAAACAAAATTATTATCTTTGGATTTTAATTAATATTCCTCTAGATCAAAGTCTAAGTCCATGTTATAGCCATCTATGTCCTCCACAATATTTGGATTTCCGATAAGGTTTTTATAAAAAGGGTGGTCCTCTTCGGGAATTAGATGTAAATAACTTTTTATGTCTTTTAGTTTCGCTTCAGCCACTTCTTTTCCATTTGGCCAAAGAGGTTCTAAAAGTGTAGAAAGGTTAACATTGGGGCCCTTTCCTTTTTTAATATTAATTTCCTTATATTCGCTTTCATCATTGTAGCCTGCCCTGATAAAAATGCTGTTTTTTTTCTCTTTTAAAATTTTAATTTCCTTAATATGTAGCCAATTTATTTTCTCTGCCTCACAAGTTTTTTTTCTATTTACGATGGCCTTTTCTAATTTTTTCGTACTTACAAAATCGTCTTTTACCATTCTGTTTATATTGATACGGCGTTTCCTCCTACATGTTCGCATGATGTTAATATAATCCTGCGGAGAAAAAATCTTATTTTGTTTTTTAATTGCACATTCAACATCCCCAAAGTCACTATCATTTGGGAGGAAACTGTGACCAGAGACCAGGAACCTTATTCTAATACTTTTTAAATGCAAAGTCTCCTCTAGAATACATTTCATCATAAGCACCATTTTAATGTTGCGGTTCTGCCCCCCGCACGAATCGCTCCAAAAAATTAAATTTTCAACACTCTCCGATATGTTATTCATGGCGATATATTTTCTTAAACAGGAGCCTACCTCCTGGGCTCCTCTGCCAGCTTCCCCTTCGATCCAAATGTTAAACGTGGATTTTTTTTGCTTTCCAGCATAAATGCCGCAATTGTACAACCATAGCTGCCTTTTGTAAAACAAAATATTTGTACTTAGTCGAGGAAGAGGAAGCGTCTTTTGCATGTCGAATGTTACAGTCTCCGTATTTTCATTATTTTCTGCAATCTCAAGATCTAAATTCATTTCTTTTCTTGCTGTTTCTGCTTCTTGCAAATGAAGATCGTGCTCACTTTGAACTTTTATTTTTTCCTCTTCATTTGTTAAACCTTTTATTTTTGCACTAAAAGTGTCACACTTATTGCATGTGTCTTTTTTGGGCTTTTTTTGTCTTAAATTAAACTTCGTTAGAAATATCTTTTTGTAGGATGAAAAACTTACTGGTTTTAAATTTGCAATTTTATAAAGTTTATACATTATTGTCAATGTTGTCCCTTCTTGCAAAAACTCTTGATTTCCTTTTGTAGATCTGCAATAGTGAGATTTATAGCGTGGAAATTGGTTGATATGTGTAATTACAGCACTTTCTTGATCAGCTGACATTTTGTTATGTCCACCACTACTTAGACCTCGCCGATCTGGTATTTCTAACTTTCTGACTTTGCAAAGCGCCGTATTTATGCGTTTGGTAGATACACGTAAAACGTTGATAAACATATCCCTACAAACTTCCGTTTTGTTAATAAAATATTGTCTGGAAAAGTTTCGCATTTGAGGATTTTTTGCAGTCACAAGTTTTTTCTTTACAGATGATTCCCTTATGTATGTAGAAAGAAAAGTGGTTTGCACGTTGTAGTCTGCTAAATTCCAATATTGTTGAAAAAAATTCCGCTGCTCCTCTAGCGAAATTTTTTCATGACAATTCGCAAGACATTTGCATTTAAATTCAATAAACTCTTTGGGTTGTACAAGGTTTCCTTTTGCCGTATAATGTCGCTTATTACTATTGGTATATACTTTTCTTAAATGTCTATCCTGTTCTGGAAACTTTCTTTTCCTTCCCCTTCCAGGACGTCCCTCGCTTTTTTTAAAAACAGGCTCATTTTCTGGCTCGCTGTCTGCATTTTTTTCTGACGATTCTGCGTTGGAATCAGGCTGGTAAGTTTGATCCCTTATGGAGTCATCAGAGTCTTCCTCAAAGTCTCTATTACATCTATCCATTTTCCTTAGTTCTGCTCTTGGCTCATTATAGTTGATACCATTCTTCCCTTCAACATCTCGTTCCTCTTCTAAACATAAGGGAGTACTAGTTGAAGGAAGTGCCTCCATGTCAGTTGGGGGCTCAAAGAAATCTTCTTTCTACAATAAGGAATTACATTTTCATTTAAAAAAAAAACTGAGATTAAATAAGGAGTTTGGGAATAGTAAACCTACCTGGTTTGTGTGAGTACGTGAAAATTCTGGATAGACCAAAACTTCTGCCACTGGTAGACTCTGGTTGATACCCAGATTACATTCTTCATTAGGATTAGCCTGGTAAGTATCAATCTTTATAAAGTCATCAGAGTTTTTTTCGGCAACTATAATATAGTTTTTTTGCCCTAATTGTATGTCTGCTATTGGTTCACTATAGTTTGTATAGTTCTCCCCTTTATCTCTTTGCTTCTCTTCTACATATGAAAGTCTACTAGTTGACGGAACCAACTCCATATTATTTGGTGCCACAAACAAGTTATTTAATTTTAAAATGCTATTCTGAAAATAAATTTGCAATAAGGAACCAATTACATACCTACATATTAAAAAAAAATCACAATAGGAATCAAAATCATTGTACATAATATTGTTTGTTCTATAGGTTTTTTAAAACAATCATTATAAATTGTTAAACGGATATGATTGTAAAAACAAGTTATTTCACTTTAGTAAAAATTAAACTTTAAGGTTAGAAACATTCAAATAAACGTAAAACTTACCTGATTTTGATCTATTTCAGCTAAAGGTGACTGTGACAATAGTTTTGTATTATTTAATATCTTTTGAACTCTCTGAGAAACTATATTTTGTTTAAACATGTTGCAGTAAATAAACACCGGCTAAAAACACTAAACAATAATACCCGTTACAACATTCGCCGTTTGAATAAAGACACTTGGTTAAATTCGCAAAAGAGACCCAAATAACTCTGGTTCAGACCTGCGCAACGAATAGAATACAGATTCCTGTAAAAAGGATCCAGATGGGTTTGGATCTTTATAGAAAACTTTTATTTCATTATTTTTAATTTTGCAAATTGGCTTTATTGGCCCGTAGATGGCTATATCATCATAAATATTTGGATCTCTATTGCAAATTGGTAAAGTAACATATTCCAATTAGTATAGTGGTAATATCTCGGTTTTTCAAAAATTGACGGTTGGTTCCTTATTGCATAACGGGGTCCAATTGATATTGCAGTTTGCCGTCTTCGTAAAATTGCATATGTATTCCGGACACTTGCTTCTACGCCGAAACAACATTTTTTTCGTTTCCAGTGTTATCTGGCATATTTGTCTCATCGTAATTAAAATATATTCTACGATAAAATATTAGCCCGAGATATTTTAATATTCGCTAACCCTTTTTGACTTTGTAACATCAATATATAATATGTGTTTAATCTTATTTGGTCGTAGCTCTACCTGGAGGGTAAGTTTTTACTTAAATCTTCTGTCCAGCGGCCACGCATATTTGAGATCTCATTTGCTATTGTACGCTGCAGGCAACTATTGGTATACGTTGCCATGTTTATGGGGCCATAAAGAATGAACTGTACTTTTAGAAGTTATTAGAAAGGCTTGATAGGTAAGCTATATTGCAGCATATACCGCGTTCTATCCCGGTGCATCGTTGTTGGAAACATAGGAAATTGCACGCAAGTTTTAAATTGCAAAATGCGTTCCAGAGAAGTGTCTCCGGAAGGTTAGTGAACCGTATGTACTATAACGTAGTAGTGTAGACAGCAAAACAAATTACATTTGACTATTGTCAAATGTAATTTGTCAAAATGACTATTGTCAAATAAATGACTATTGTCAAATAAAATCATAGGTTGACAACTTAAGGTATGCTGACATTTTTCTGGTATTGCATTGTTCAGTTTCATTTCAAAAATTTTTTTAAAATATTTATGATTTCTAATACATTTTTACCTATAACATATATATCGTCCTATTGCTGCCAAAAGTCACTAACTAACATTTTTCCGAACAACCAAATTCAATCACTAACTATGTTTTAAAGCGGAGAATCGATTACAAAAGTCATTAACTACAATTTCTGACTATTTATGTTTTATTTTAATACTGAATAGTTACTAACTATAACATCTTTATGCAATGCAATTCATCTTTAGACGCATTTTTTTCGGAAGTAATAAAAAGTAAGTTAGTGACTTTTGGCAGCAATGGGACGATATGTAAAATCAGTTTGTACAAATTCCATCTGGAAAGTACTTAAATTAATGATTGAAATTCATTGAAATTCGCTTTGCGCGAAAACGAGGCGTGACGTCAAAAATGTTAAAATTTTCGGCTCGCAGAGAACCCATTCCATTTAAATTTAAATAAGGTGTTCCCGATGACATTTGACATCTAAATAATTTCTAATCTATTTAGGTGTTTTTTAAATTTATTTAGATATCACTGGGTGTTTCAGTTTGTTAGAATTATGACAAAACCGGATTATAATACTACATACATACTGCCATTACTTGCTGACGAGTATTTGACACGCATCAGAAGATGGTCACGCAAGGCGTTTTATTTCATGAGCTTTTCTGTGACTGAAAATCCCGATACGTGATGTTATCTGTCTATCGCACTCCAGACATTCAAGAATCTCTTTGCTTTGTTGCCTCTTTACTTTTCGATTGTCGCTGTTAACTGACTTTACAATTTTTCTCCATTCCGTTCTATTGTGAGCTGCTTCTTCCCACTCATTCTGCTTGTTAATACCCTTTAAGTTTTCGTGGAAAATATCCTTGTACCTGTTGAGTTGTCCACCCGGCCTCCTTTTACCGTCTACACGCTCACCGTAAAGCAGAGATTTAGGTATGCGGTTTTCTTGCATTCTGTATACGTGACCAGCCCATCTTAAGCGGGACTTTGTAATCAAGACTTCAATACTCGCGCAGTTAACTTTTCCTCAAATGTTTTCAAATTCATAATCATAATGTCGATAATGTCATGAAAAAACTGTCTTGGAGTCGTAAGCCCCCATTTCTTAACTTTTCTCTTAAAACTATTGTTATTACTACACTTTAGCACTTTTTGTTATTACTACACTTTGGCACACAATTGAACAATATCGGTGCTAAATAATTAATACTGCGCTGCGTAATTTGTTTATTACATCTGCTAGTCTTAACGGGGTAATTGCTTTTGTATCGTGTCTCATACACATGCTCAACAGGTGCTATGTTAATATTATTATTTTTACGATAGGACTTTCAAGCAATAAATCTGCCTTATATCACAAAGATGGCTCATCTCGAACAAACTGTCGCTTGAAAATGTTATAGATCTGTGGTAAATAATTTTCAAGATCCACATGTGAATTACTTCCAAACCGTGTGCATGTGAATCGAGAGCACTCCCCCAGGCGCATATACCATAAGATATCTGAGATTCTGAGACTAGCGCCTGGTATATTATGCGGAGATGATTTATAGACAAAAACTGCTTTAAATACTTGAACCTAAAAGTAAGAGGTCTGAGTTTTTGGATAATACTTTTTACGTGCACATATCCCATTTAAGGTGTTTATCAATATATACTCCCAAGTATTTTATTGAGTTTGCCTCATGTATAATAAGAGCATCTTTAATATTAAGAGGACATAAATGTAAAAAAGAAAATTACTGACTCTAGATTTAATTATTTTTTCAACGACTTTTGAAATGTTCGAAATAAGAGAAATCGGCCTATAATTATTAATATCTAGTTTGTCTCCGCTTTTATATATTGGTGTAATAATTCCAAGTTTCAGACAATCCGGGAATACATACATACTATACTGCCATTACTCGCTGACGAGTATTTGACACGCATCAGAAGATGGTCACGCAAGGCGTTTTCTTTCGTGAGCCTTTCTGTGATTGAAAAGCCCAATACGTGATGTTATTTGTCTACCGCACTCCGGACATTCAAAAATATCATTGCTTTGTTGCCTCTTAACTTTTTGGTTCTCGCTGTTGACTGAGTTTACAATTCTTCTCCATTGAGTTCTATTGTGAGCTGCTACTTCCCACTCATTCTGCACATTAATCCCCTTTAAGTTTTCGTGGAAAATGTCCTTGTACCTTTTGAGTTGTCCACCTGGCCTCCTCTTACCGTCTACAAGCTCACCGTAAAGCAGTGATTTTGGTATGCGGTTTTCTTGCATTCTGCATACGTGACC